ACGCTTTATACTAGTAAAAAATGAGCCCGGACTTCCTAAGATCCCTGAAGAGCTCTGTTGTTGAAGTTTATTGTACAGAAGGGCCCTGGGGGACCAACAAAATATAGAAATTTAAAATATTTCGGAATTCAATGAGTATTTTAAAAATATAGGATACTTCAGTCAAGATACCACTTTGGACTCTGTGGTTGCCAGATGTTCCATGCAGATGTCAATGGTGCTTAATGTGAGAAAGTGGAAACAGTCTTTTATTGTGCAGCAGGAGGGGCTGCCAGGGGCACATTCCTTACCACTGTCCCCATCCTTCCCTCCAGTCAACATGACCATGTCTGCACACCTCTCGGGTCTGCTGAGTCAGGTCTAGCAAACAATACCTGTTTAACTGCCATCCTTTGTGCACCAGCTAAGTGTCTGCCACATGGCCTGTCCCATGACCTGCCATGTGGTAAGCATCCAAACATTTCCTCAATTACCTGACTCCTGAGACAGTGAAGAGAATGAGTATCTTAGTATTTTCCACTACGACCTTTTACAAAAACCCTCCTGAAGCCAGTGAGTTGACCCAGTGGGTAGAAGCGCTTGGTAAGCAAGCCTAACTCAGGATCGGCCTGAGTTCAAGGCCCCAAAACTCACATAAAGATGGAAGGAAAGAACCAACTCCAAAACGTTGATAACTTCCACACACAAATTGTGATATGCACACATCCATAGTCACACACACACACACACACACACACACACACACACACACACACACGAATAATAACAAAATTTAAATTAAATTTTTTTCTTGAGCACTAAAGATAAACAAATACATCTTGATGTCATGAACATCTCTCTACTCAAAAGATGGAGAGCCTAAAACTGTCCTTTATGGTTTCTGACAGCCCATATTCTTTTCAAGACAGACTAAAGTGTTCTCAGTGCGCAGACTCCAGCAGCTGCTACAGAAAGCTGTTTTGTGAATACTGTCTCTTCCTTCTCTTGTTGCATGCAGGGGTTCCTGCGTGGGACCAGCAAGGAGCTCGACGCCATCGCCTAACCTTGGAAACGGGAAGGATTCTGGAGCCATATACACTCTATTTGTCTTTAAAACGTAACAACAGCGTTAAAACGAATATCTATTCTCTGCCAATGTTTATAAAACTACTGCAAAACTGAATTTTTAACTATCTTTATAGTATGGAAGAACTGGTTTGGTTTTAGAAAAACTGCAATTGCACACAGAAGGATACAAGTCAAACCAGGTTCACACTGACCCTGCCTCTAAGATGTGACAATTGTCAAAAGCCATGCTCTTACCTCTGGGACACTCCCTTACATTTCAGCCACAAAACTGCAATTCAGTAACTAAGATGCATAGCTAAGGAAAAAAACACACACACACACATCCTAACCTAAGCCTCTTCCCACAGAAGAGGATTTGATTATTCTAGACTGAACAGACAAAACAATTCTGCAAGGCTCTGTGTAACATACATTTTTGTCTAACTTTCTGTCACTCTGTACACCTAAAGGGCAGAGTCCCAGGCAAAGATGACACAGAAAGGTCACAAAACAAATGCCACTGACCAGTTCAGCAGCCAGGGCTCCTGCAGAATGGGACAGAAGCGGAACACCAACAGAACACGTCAGAATAGTGAAAAACTGGATGAGCTCAACGACAATAACATGTGCCTCTCATACTGCTTCAGTTAAGACAATGGAATGATAACTATAGTCTCCAAGAAACACTCCAGCATTTATTTGCCTTGAAGGGGGTTAGTTAAACCTCCCAGATGTTGTCTCCTCCTTTGGAAAAATGGGCATAATTAACGATACCTACAGAATAGGCTTTAATTACGTGGACTAAATGATGCCATTCATATGAAAATGCTTAGTGTCTCATACTTTGTAAGCAATAGTGTCATGTCTAAGTCATGAAATGAGAAGGGAGAACATGAGAGATCTTCTGGTGGAAGCTCCACCTCAGGCCCTGGCACCCTGGCATCCATATACCCAAAGAGTTTGGAATGTTCTGGTGGAAGGCCCACCTCTCTGTCCAGACCCTGCCCCTCACTCAGAAAGTCCTGCCAAACATGGCTCCTCCCCCAAAGATGCTCAAGACCACTCCCACAAGGTATTTAAACTGCACCTCAGAAAACAGACATGTGGTGTTTCGGCCCCTCATCCCTGTGTCCTCTCTAGGGGGCTGGAGAATCACCTGGGAACACTTTACCCATTAAACCGGGGCTTTTTGTAATTTGGATTGATTTGGTCTGATTTGAATTGCTGCATCAGTGGAGAGGCTTATCAGGGTGCAGAAACTTTTCAAGAGAGAAGGAAGAACTCTCAAGTCAGGACCAGGAAACGAGGAGAGTATTAAGAGGAAAGTCACCAGCAAAAGGAGGACCCAGGAGGATGGGGAAGCGCTTGGGGATAGTAGTGGGGGAGAACGGCAAATCAGAACCAAGCATGACGACATATATATATATATATATATATATATGAAAATGCCACAACAGAACCCATTACTTTTTATGCTAAATTCTTTTACAAGGGGAAAAAATCAATAGATGTCAACAAAGATTTCGTAATCATTGTTGCCTATTTTCCATCTCAGACCTTGAAGTGTAAGAGGCAGTCAGCAAGTGGTCATTTGCTTTCCTATACTATAAACATTCTACTGATGTTTGTGAACCTGTTTGAAGTTACCTAGCTGCGCAGAGCTTCAGTACTTCACTTAATATTCTCGATACAAGAGAGATCTTTCTGATCCGATGGGAGGTCTGCCCAAGGCCACACAGCCAGAGACCAGTAATGACAGGACTCAAGGTCACACTGTCCAACTGATACTTCATGACTCTTCTCACCAAAATATCAACTTCATAATATTTTATTCAAACCATGTGCTCTAATTGGGTTAGCAAAGAGACTGAGTACATAGAAAGTGGGCCTGAGGCTCAGACTGGCTGGATAGCCACACAGGATTGGTACAGACTGAGTGCAGTGTTGTGCTGACATCCTCATCAGGGACTGAAGTCATCATCTCCACCAGGACACAGGAGTCCTGTGAAGTTAAGTAGTGCTGATGCTGCCTGAGAAAACGTCCAGGCCCCAATGCCAGAGATCACCCCGTATCTGCCTGCCTGGCTCCTCTGTTTAACCTTCCCACGAACTGCTCCACACCCAACCCTCCAGATCCTACTGAACTTCCTCCAGTTTTCCTCAAAGAATTGTCTAGCTAGTCTCTTCTCTACCTGGACTAAAGAGATGGCCTCATCAGTCCACATCTAATTCACTTCACCTGCAATCTGCCCTGGAGCGCTGAAGTGAAAACTGTACATGTGGAGGGCCTTGGGATGACCTAGACAGCTCCGGACTTTATAGTGTGGCTGGAATAGGGACACACATGATTGAATTGCTGCATTTTACCACAGGAAAACTGTTCATTGGAAAGATAGGTTTCTGTGAGACATGACGGCTCACATAGATAATCTCCGTACATAGAGGCTGAGGCAGTGGGATCATGAGTTCCGGGCTATCCTAAGCTGCACAATGAGATCAGTTTCAGAATAAATGAAGTAAAATACTGAGACAATGTCTCACACATACACATATACACACAAATAAATAACAATGATACCCTATCATGATGAGTAAATAAAGGTTGAGTTTCATAGTCAAATAAGCCTGGAGAAAAACATGGTCTGTATGTCCCTCTGGGGGTCTTACGGTGCGTGCTGAGATAGGGAAGGAGGTTGAAAAAGAAGGGGTGCAGGGAGAACCCTGTAGCACTTCCTTTAACACAGCAAGCCCCAGATTTTCTAGAACCTTCTTCCTAATCACACCTTTTCATACTGAAACTTAGCTTAGGGAATGTGAAAGTCTCTTCACTTTGAATCTTGTCCCAGGTGCTCTGGGTTCCCTGCCCATCAGCGAAGGCCGATGTAAGAGTTAAACTAAGAACGAGGGGCTTCCATTTCCTGTTAGCCAAGCTGAAACATGATCTCTGGATGTCACATCGACCCAGAAAAGCAGTTTTGAAAGCAAGAGAGAGCAAAACACATTTTAACTCACAAATTACAGCAGACCACAGCTGTATATTATGTATTAAACAATTTACAACCATGGACACAACCAATTTTTATGCCTTTCTATATACAAGGTGAAGCAGAGTGCTTACCAGACAAGCAGACAGATATTTCAAATCAGCTTCTCTTTTACAGTGATATTTTTTTCTCTTCATCTTTAGGTAGTTCAAGCTTACTGGGTTTAAATGTAGAAACAGGATATGGTAGGAAACCAAGCTATGTGAAAATCTACTGTTATTCAAAAATATTTAATTATACTTTGCTGAAAAATTAAGCTTTCTGCAGATAGAGTCATTGGTCAATTGATGAATATCACTAAGGAATTATTTAGAATATTACATAACACTGTAATTCCCCTAATAGCTGAGAATTAGTTTTCCCGCATTACCAAATAAGGTTTGAGTGCCAAGTCCTACAAGAACACATACCAAAGACTTTCCAAAAGTCGGCTCGATTAGACATAAAACATCTAAAATAAAGTACATGAAACATCTCTTTACATGTCATGCATCTCCAGTAATTCTATTGAAATCTACTCAGGTTTATGAATAGAAAATCCTGATACCATGGAACTAAGCTGGATTTTACAACATCAACTTCACTTAACATTTTAAGGTCCGTGTTAATCCACAAGATCAACATTAATCTAAATGTGAATCTCGTTGCTTATTTTATTTTTTCAACTGGACTCCACAAAAAGCATAACTACGCAATATTCTACCTTGTCAAAACACAGTTTTGAAAATATCACACGAATAGAATCGGAATCTCAGAAAGCACATCCCTGGCCTTCCTCGCCACCTCGGGGGCAGCTGGAGCTGGCAGTGCACTTGGTGAGCACTCGGTGTGAGCCTGGCCTTCCTCCCCACTCACTCCATTGCAGTCTGTGGACACAGTGACCGTGTTAGCCCTGTGGCAGTGCCTTACCAGTGTAGATGCTGGCATTGGAAGCTGGGATACCAAACTGTGACTCGATGAACTTGGGGATGAAGGTAATGAAAGCGGTGACAATGGCACTCTCAGCTGTGTACGACAGACTCACAAAAAGGAATGTCATGTTGCTTAAGATCCTGACAGCTGCTCTTGGTAGGTCTACAAAATGACAGAAATGATACATGCATGTTATAAACAATGGATGGAAAACAAAAGAAAACTGAACTTTTTTTTTTTTCTTATGAACTGAAAATAGTCCTTGGGCAACAGATGAAAAGCTCTGATGATGCTTCTTTTTCCCTTTGTTTTCTGTATTTTTTTTTGAGACAGGGTTTCTCTGTGTAGCCCTGGCTGTCCTGAATTCACTCTGAAGAACAGGCTGGGCTTGAACTCAGAAATCCGCCTGCCTCTGCCTCCTGAGTGCTGGGATTAAAGGCGTGCGCCAGCAGAGCCCACTTCTGAAGACACCTGAAACCACTCCTGTTCTTCTGGTCCCTTAATTCTCAACCAGGAAAATGAAGGAAATAGCAGCTAAAATCATACCCAGACACAAGTGTCTTCATAAAGAGCATCCAGCCAATGAAATTGTTTGCATTTTTCATTAATTAAAATACATTTTCTGTTAAGATCCTAAAGATTCTTTAATATGAAAATGACCTGTGGTCTAATCCTACATCATAATTTCCAGTTCACCCAGCTAAGACTATCCTGAAAAGATGTACTTCTCTTTTTTAAAATTCAATTTATTATTTACTTTGTGTGTGTGTGTGTGTGTGTGTGTGTGTGTGTGTGTGTGTGTGTGTGTGTGTATGTAAGAGAGTTCGTGTATGCAAAAAGATATGCGGGTGCTAGAAAAGGGTAATAGATCCCCTGCACCTGGAGTTCCTGGTGATTGTGAGTCACCCCAAATGAGAGCTGGGAACTGAACTTGGGTCCTAAGGAAAACAGCAGGTACTCCTAAAGCTGAGCCATCTCTTAAGTCTAAGATGCATTTCAGAGTTGGCCTGTCTTTGGTCCCACACTGCAGATGCCCAAAGCAGAGCAACAGGTAGACGATGTTGTACATCTGATCTTTCAGCCTTGTTTATGAAACAAGAAATAATCCTAGCTAAAGGGATGAGAACATTGGGTCAGGCACTCCCAGGTACTTTAGATTGAAGAACAAAAGCCATGATATCCTAAGATGATGATGCTATCCCAGAGATAAGGCTCAGTACCCACTGGGCAGCATCTCAGGGAGAAAGATCTCATCCTTAGGTCTAACTATTTACTTAACAGAATGTGCTACAGATACAGCATCATTTATAATATAAAATGTGGGATGGCTAAATGGCCATCAATGGGCAATGCTTAATCTAATTATGATACAGCCATATAATTGAATATGAGATGGTCGTTAAAAATGAAACAGCTGTATGTGCTAGCACAAAAGAATTATAAAAAGTGTTATATTGACAAGTAAAGCAAGCTATAGAAACACACATAAATATGTGTATACCGTCATATTTGAGTAAAAATAAAACAAGCCAAAACAATGCATTCATAGGAGATGAAATGATGAGTTCTTAATACACTAATACCAAATTCTTAAGGGCTTAAGTTGTGCAACTAAGACAAAGGTTGAGAGGGGAATAAATGGAAATTCTGTATCCTATCAACTTCTGTATTTTTCATTTTTATAGAACGGATGGATGCACATTTGCATAATTGTTGTGACTCCATGGAAAAGTTCATCTTGGAAAACATCTATGTTTTATGTTACAACATAGTAAAGTCATTTCGTTATAATTAGCCAACTTTTATTGACACTATGATTCATAGCCTCCCACTTACCAGAATCTAAAACTTAGGAAATAGAGAGTATTTGCTCATATCACTTCAAAATGTAATTAAATGTAATGTTCTAGGTCTTCTTTAACCTTGTGAGCTTTAAGACTTTAAGGGGAAAGCTAATATGCAGACTTGACCTTTAATGTGGATAAACACACCAGAGAAAAACAACCAAACCATTTCATAATTTTTTCCTGTGAATGTTAAATTAAAATGTCATATCCAAAATTTCAAAGTAGATAAGTTGAGATTCTCAACATTCAAAGATTTAATTAAGTTTAGCTAGCATATTAAAAGGCAAAGTATTGAATCTAAAACATCTGGGAAAAGAGGAAAAATCTAAAACACAAGATGATAATATTTGTATCACATGAATATTTGAAGTCATAGTCAACATCTCAAATTGGTTTTTCTTTTTACAATATATTCTTAATTATGTATATGTGTGCATATCTATGTATAGGTACACACACATGAGTACAAATGCCCTTGGAAACCAGAGGTATCAGGATCCCTCGGAGCTGGAGTTACAGGCATTTGTCAGCACAGATGCTGGGAACCTTAGGCTTGGTCCTCTGCAAGAGCTGTAGATGCTCGAGACCCACTGAGCCCTCTCTCCAGCCCCTACATCAGTTTTTCTTTTAGAGACATTTGGTTTGGTAAAATGGTCTTTTAGCATCAAGGCTAAGAAAAAAAGTATATGAATGTTCTCTCATCTCATTAAAAAAGTTATTAAATAAGTAAATAAAACCAAAGTTGGTTGTTATTTAAAAAAATCAACCAAGATAAGACTTCCAATAAATCTTTCACCCTCCATATCCGCTGACTGGGGCTTAGTTTTCTGCCCAAATGCCCCGAAGAAGCCAAAGAAATTTAGAGCTAAATTTTGGGCTGGTGCCACTGTGTATTTTTTATATGTAGGGACTTAGCTAATAATTACACTGAAGAGTGATGGAAATCAGATCACTAACTGCCAGAAAAGGAGTCAGAAGTATGGAAAGAAGGACCAGATAGGTACTAGATTAGAACTGAAGGTACTCATATGAACCAATTAGATGAACAAATACATAGGAAAATGAGAGATACATTGGATGATGATGATGATGATGGATAGATAGATAGATATGGATATTCTAGATGGATGACAGATAGATACAATAGAACAAATTGACTGGCAGGTGATATATAACAGATAGATAAAGATATGATAGGTTGGCTGACAGGTAGCAGATAGATGCATACATATATACAAGTGTATGCATGTGTTTGGGTGTATACATGTTATTTCCTAGCATTGTCGAAAACAGAACTTTGACATAATGATACCCCAGTAGGAATGAGCCTATCCAGCACAGTTCTTAGTTTCTAAAAGTCATTTTCTTTTTTTCTTTTTCCTTTTTTTTTTTTTTTTGGTTTTTTTCGAGACAGGGTTTCTCTGTGTAGCTTTGCACCTTTCCTGGAACTCACTTGGTAGCCCAGGCTGGCCTCAAACTCACAGAGAACCGCCTGGCTCTGCCTCCCGAGTGCTGGAATTAAAGGCGTGCACCACCACCGCCTGGCTAAAAGTCATTTTCTACTGAAAGGAACAGAAAAATGTCTGACTTCAGTATTGGAAGACAGAAGATACAAAATGAGCTCAGAAAATCTCATTGAAGAAGAGAGTGAAAAATCACTCCAATGGGCGATTCCCCCAAGTTTGAGCTTGATGGAGGCTAAAAGAAGTATTGGGAAATCAAACAGAAACAATATTCATCCAATCCTCATCATTTGTAGATTTTGTACTGGCCAATTTAGCTACTTGCTGAAATGTATCTGTAAGCCTAAAATTAATATTTGAAGCACTCTCACGACCACTCAGAGCAGCAAGAACTTGAGTCATCCATGCTCTCCCCTCCTGTCAAAGGTGGAAAACATATTCTGCCTTCTTCTTGCAGCTCTGACATGGTAAAAGTGGGTCTTTGTCACAATAGTTTGTTGCAGTTTTCTCATTATGTTGTTTGTTGGCGATTTTGCTTGTTTGAAAAGGTTCCTAATATCAGGCATGGTGGCACACGTCTGTAATCCCGATACTTAGGAGGCAAAGATCCAAGAACCACTAGTTGAGGGCCAACCTTGTCTATACAGCAAGACTTTTCCTCCAAAGCATAAAGGGTGAAATAAGAAACCCCCAGGGGGTTTCCTGTGGTGCCACTAGCTACAGGTGACTGTAATGAATGAGCTTGGGAGAAAAATACACACATCGGAGATGCTCACACCAGGCATGCATTACAGGCATTTGACATGACTTCCAAGTTAATGAATCAACAGCAGCCAGGTGTTTAAACATAAAATGAAGTCAGGTACAGATGAGCTGGTGAACACACTGTGACAGAACCAACCCCATGTAACCTCTAGAAACAGTACTTCCATATTGATTTGGTGGTCATGGTGACGTCACAAAGCAAAATGGCAGTGAAGAACGGGAGTTCATTGATCTTATGTAACCTCAAAATATTCCCCTATAAGGCACTTGTACATTATTTATTGATTTTATTGCACTTGACTAATTAACTTTTGGATGAAGTAAACCTAGAAAATGCAAACTCATCCAGGGATCAAATGGTTAACCTACCAGATTATTGGGCAAATTAATACAATCTACCTAGTTAGGGTGTACTGAACATAGTATCATCTTTGTGCTAAGCCTTAAAAAGTACATAAATCAGAAGACAGCATCAACTAAGGAATAGTCTATGAAGATAACTTTTACCTATGCTTTTGAGAAAAGGTCAAGATCAGGAAGATGAGGATCTGCCCAAGACTGGAGGAGACCCCAAAACTAAATACATGTGATTCTGGATTGGACCTTGAACATAAAGGGCATCTTTAGGAAGACAGGCCTGTCTTCGACAGTGGAAACAGCTCACTGCATATTTCTGAGTTTTGTTGGATGCCCAGTGGGCGTGCAGGGCAGTGTCCTTGAACTTAGGAAAAACACAGGGGAGTATGAGGAGTGGTCAAGCATGTCTTTGACTTCCAGGGAATGGCAATTATTAGAGACTCAATACGGGGCACCAAGTAACCAGGACTCTGTGTACCTTCCTGCAGCCTTTATATATACGCAAAACTATTTTCAAAAGCATAGCTTAATAAGTAAATTGGACAAGAAATTGCTCAATCTATGGATTTGCAGCCCAGTATCTAATTCATTTTTAATGCTACAGAATGTATTTTAGATCCATTTCTTAGTGTCATGTATAATGTGTTATTGTACAATCAAAGATGCCATGAAGACCATGAGAGAGAGAGTACTGAGGAATGATAATGATGATCTGGCATTTCATCATTTG